TAGTTGCTCTGAGTTTTGGATTAAGCAGGTCTACTTGTAATTGTAAGACAACTGAAAGAGAATGTGCAGCACTAGAAAACTCATAAAGCTCTATCAAATGTAGTGGGAATGAAAGCAAGAATTTAAAGAGATTATTTTAAACCCTCCTAAATTAAAATTTTGTACTATATTTTGATTCTAATTCTCTAATTCAAACAGGAGTAATTTTCTCCTGCATTGTTTTCACAGAAATACTAAAGGAGTATTGCTTTCTATTAAGTTGTGTTCAAATTTTCAGAAGCCTGTGTATTGAGAATTTTAAAAATAATAAACAATATATATAAATAAATAATAAATAATATAAAAAAAGATTATATATAACTATAATAAATAATAAAATAATAGTTCATAAGAACATTTGAACTAGCACATTGTGGGGAGGGAGCAGTATAAAAAAAATGGCATCTCTTTGTTGAGCTTTAGTTTTTTAAAACCGTGCTTCCATTTCCTAGATGGCAAAACGAACAATTTGGCATATTCAAGGTCAAGAAAATCTTGTTATAGAAGCAGATGAAGAACCCCAAACTCTTCAGTCTATATTGAATCTTTTGTATCAATGCTATTGAATTAATGAAGTTTAATTTAAACTGAGATATCTCCTGCCATGCTATTTCAACACAGGAGCAAACATGCAGCCTACCTAGACGGCCCCAGCTTGGAATGGTCTCAGCTGTCTGGGGCATGAGTGTTTTTGAGAATGAGATCAGGATCAGTGCCAGACTGGTACTTGGACTAAATTTCTTTAAGTGCTTAAAGTGTAAGAACTGCCCATGATCCTTCATAGAGAGTGAAACTTTCTGCTCCCACCTATTGAAATTGATTTCCTATGCAAGCAGTAAGTAGCGTTTGCCAAAGCCACCACAGGCCCTTCAAACAATCACTCAGCTGGCACTTAGTTCTCCTGTTTGTGTTTTTCTTTTAACAGACTGTACTATGGAAAATAGACCACATTGCTCCATTAAACAGCCATCTGTTGAATAGCAGAGCTGTAGAATAATTAAATCTATAGTGGGTATTTATCTAATGAGAAATTTACAGAAAATATCCCAGGTATGAATTTAAAATTAGTTTCACAAACCATACGGTGGAATCTAGAGTGCTCCAAAATGTTTTTTTTGTGTGGAGGTCAGTGTTTCCTTTTTGTCCTTTGATGTCCAAATAGTGATACTGCTGAAAATCACACCATTAGTTTCAGGATTGCAGAGTCTAATAAGGAGGGGTATTTTAGTATGAAGCAAAACCAAAAAGAGAGAGTAGAGATGACTGTAGAGAGTGACAGTTGCTCCACTAAGGGACCTCTGAAGTACCATTCCCTGGTTAGACTGAAGCTGGATGTGAGAAGCCTGGGTTGAAAGCCAAATTGTGCCATGGACCTGTGTTGTCATCTTGTGCAATTTCCTTAGTCTTTTAATGACTGTTGTCTCCCTCCAGTCTCATTTTATAGCTGGAGTCACGTGCCTGTATTAATATTTATACTCTACCTGCACTGTAAGTCACCTGGATATGGAGGTGTCTGTATTTTAGCTTTCCTGGGCGCTTGCCCCTTAAGACTCTCACCAGGCTTTGTCAATCCCTTTTGAAATAACACAGACAACTGCCAACAGAAACCTAATTTGGTGTAGCACTGCTCAGCCAGTTCCCAGGAGCTGCTTTGATACCTTATTTAAACTTCATGTTGTGTTTTGTGTCTAGGTTAAATATGATGGTGAACAGCTGGACTGTGAGCCTCGTAGAACTCCTGACATGAACCTGATAAGCCTAGAGAGGGCTCTGAGAGGAGGGATTTGGCTACAGGGAGCGGATGCCAGCCAATCCCTGACGAGAACATAAGCAGGTACCTATTGGCCAGTGAGCTGGGTGGTAACCAAATCATAGTCCATCAGGTTCAAACACAGAGTCTTTTGAATAACCTATGTAAGAGCTGTGCAGGCAATTAATTTTTTCTCTGCCACATGAACTTCAATGTCATGTTATCTCTATGTCTCCCCTGACTGCAACAGTTAAACATGCACCTAAAACTGCAAAGACAATAGAAACAGATTTTGCAAGTCAAGCAGTGTTTTCTTTACAGCAGAGGAGGGAGCACAAAGAGTTTCTGTGAAGCTTGACCAGGTCACCTAAAGTTGGTGTAGCCAAAAATAGAGCCATGATCATCTCCTGCACTCTGACACCAAGGTTCATTACTCCTCTCTGTAATGAAAAACCATAGTCAAGGTGGCGTCACCTATCTGATGTTTTCAGGCCATGGAATTTAATGAATATCATTGCTATCTAAGTCAAGACTTCTGTACCGTTTTCTACGTAGGATGCCAGCTCTTAGTTCACACTTAACAAGTGCATCCCAAGAATTACTGGTGGGAATTTTTTCCCTTTACCTGCAGAACTCAAAGTGATTCCTGTAGAGTTCTCTTTTGCTGACTGTTTTGCTGACTGTTCAGACAGTTTTAGACTTCACCTTTCCACTGGATAAGAAACCTTACAAGGTATCCTGTGCTTTCCAAGTAGTTCCTGTGCCCAAATTTATCACGGGCTCCCCAAGTCCCAGCCTGCTCACTGAACCATGGTGTGCAGAGGTACCTGGGATAATGACACTGCTGCTGTTGCTTGTTAGAACCAAGGAGGGGTGTGTGGGGTGCAGATATGCTGCTGGCACTCACACACACACAGAGCCTTATCCTGTGCAAGCAATAGCACAGAACTCATGTTCTTGGGAGTGGACACTGCGAGGATGTGCAGTTTTAGACAACAACATGTATGTGATTTTGAATCTGTAGTATTCACAGAATGCTATTTAATTGAACTTACTTCAGGTAGCTACTGCAAAATCAGTTTGAACTGGCATGATGGGTACAAATTATGGAAGGAAACTATACAGAAAATAAATTTGAAAGGGCCACAGAGCTTGAGGAAGCATTACTCTAGAGACCTTAAACCTGAGGTGGGATGCAGCATTAAACAGTGATGTGGTCGCAGCAGTTACTTGTATTTGTCTCCACAGGATGCCATATACAGGCATTTTCATATCAGCTGGTCTGGTGGGTGCTGTGGTAGCTACTCTGCATGTGGAGTTATTTAAGTTCCCAGTAGCCTTGTACAGTGTATGCTGAAATCTTTAATTACTTCCTGGCAATTAATGGAGTGTGCTGGGTCACCAAGGCCAGTATCAATATTGCATTCTGTGTTCTAAGCTGTCCTTTGAGTACTGGATATATATTTCAGTATTTAATAATATCTAATGGATCAGAGAGCAGATAAAGGCAGATAAAAATTGCCAGTGTATTTTTATAATCCTCTGAAACCCTTACAGCAGCCAAACAGCATGACATTGTGCATCTTTTATCGTGTTCTCAGGCTAAATTATTAAAGTCATAAGGAAAGTAATATTTTTCCACATATCTTACAGTGCAATTTTCATATCTGCTAGTAAGAGTCTAGAGAACTCTGTAAACTGGTTTTGTTCTTACCATATGAAATTTGAATATTTAATTCCCAAAATAGTCTTGTATCTATGAGTTCTTTTATTACATCTGATTCCCTTGGTACTTTCTAGATGAGGGAACATTTTGTTTTGTCAGTAAAACCTGGTTTTGAGTGGGTAGAGAAAGGTTGGAATAATATATGTGCTACTTCATTTGAAAGGAAAAAGTATTTTGCAGTATCTGTGATATCTACTGATTATAAAACTGTTTTAGTGTTGTCCTTGGGTGACTTTATGATGTTTGTATCCCCAGTCGCCTGGTTTATGTTACATATTAAGTTCTACACCTTTAAGACTGGCTCTGAAAGTGAAAGGGGGAAAGAAGAAGAATGCAGTTTGTATTGAAAAAAACCACTCCCCTGCATCCTACTCCTGGACTGTGGTGTCTGCAGCACAGATGGACAGCAGGACAGAGCTTCTCTCTGGCTTTTAGTTAGTTTTAGCTAGCTGAAGCAGAAGAGTTCCCTGGATTTTTTTTATTTTATTTTTTTTCCCCTCCTTGGATCTGTTCAAACCTGCTCTAGACTTAAAAACCCAGACAAACCTCAGGTGCTCACACCTGTGCCACACCAGGGCCTGGGCCTGGGTACTTTCTGGCGCCGGAGGGACTGATAAGAACCTGAGCGAGCTGAGCTGCACCACATGGAAAAGACTTTTTTTTCTGGATTTGCCATTTCATCAAACAGTGAGAGGTTTTATTGTTTAATATTTCTATTAAATAAATTAATTTTAATTTAATTATTTTCTGTTAAATAAACAGTATTTTTCTCTTTTCTCCAAGGAAATCTCCTTTCCCAAACCAGTTGGGGGAGGGGCTTCTTGGATTTGCTTTCTGAGGAGACCCTATTTAGAGGTTCTCTCCCAGATTTGCCCTAAACCAGGACAAGTATATATCTCTACAGCAGCTTTCATTTAAAAGCACAGGTCATCAATGGATTGACCACCTGATACAGCTTGTCTGTTCCTTGACATTATTGGTGCAAGTTCCTTTTTAATAGTCATTAAACAACCATAAAATTAGGAAATTACAATTAAGTTGTGCTCTAATATAGGCTGTGCAGGACCTGCTGCTGCCTAAGTCAGTTCTGTGCATGCTGAAATCATAATCTCTGCAAGAAGCAGGTGTTTAAGTATAAATAACATGATTTTTTTTAAGATTCATTGTACACCATTATTGCATTTTATTACTTCTATGGTAGAAGGAAGAATGAAGTAAAAATCATTTATGTTAGTGAAAACCAGACAAATTTAGTTAGGTAACATTGTGCATTTCACTGCTGGACAAGGAGGGAAGAAGCTGATCAGGATGCTTCAGGTAAGAAATAAAGCTCTCAAATATTAATTACTGTAATGGTATTGAGGAGGTTATCAGCTCAAGCCAGATGCCCTGACATGCAGATAGCAGGAGAGCGAGGCTTATTCATTGAGAGTGTGATGGTCACAGCAGTGCAGCTGAACATTAATGTATTCCTTTCTTTTCAAGGTATTTACACCCCTGAACCGCTCTGCAATTTCTGGTGGGCTCTTTTATCCACGGGGTTTATGTTTGTGTATCATTTTAGCATCTTGCAGATCCTGGGATTGGTAAGTAAACCCAGGTTAATAAATGGGTAATCTGCAAGTACATGCAGAGTAAAAATACTGAGGAGTTTGAGAGTCCAGGTCTACGTGGATAAGACTACTTGCATGGAAATTTTTGATAAGGCTACTTGTATGCAAATTGCATGTTCTAACAAGCATTTGTATCTTATATCTTGCAAGTACTGGTAAAATATTTCACAGATTGGTTATGTACCATAAATCCATTTATTAAATTTAAAATGAAATTTGGATGTGTTTTTTTTCTGAAAGCTGCCCTACTTGTTTTGAGCAAATGCGTGCCATCGAAACATTTTTGATTATTATGGTAATTCTCTAAATTTTCACTTGTTTTAGGTGAATCAGTGCAACATAAAAATATTGTTAATTGATAAATTGTTGCTTTCTCAGGTTACAGAAGTGAATTTGAACAACATGTTGTGCCCAGCCATCTCAGATCCTTTTTATGGGCCCTGGTACCGCATCTGGGCATCTGGACATCAGACTGTCATGACCATGACTCACGGGAAGCTTATAATCCTGCTGTGTCACAGTGCTGTCCCCACCTTCAAGTGGAGCATGGACTTTCTTAGGCTCCCAGCAAAGAAAATAGACTGAAATTTCTCCCCACAGAGTAATTCATACAGGAAGCAGAGATATACTGGAAAACAAAGAGGGGGGATGAGAGGACAATGGCTCTATACTTCTTCCCACCGTTTTTTGCCTCAAAAACACCTCTGTTATGAAGTGAGGTTTTTTTTACCTGCTGTTTTTCACTGCCTATTGCCAATGGCAAAATTAGTGGCCTTACTCTGGGGAAGATTTGTGTTTTATACATTTTGTATAGATTACAACAGAATCTTGCTAAGTCACCATTTAAAATTAGGCCAGGATCTGTCCACATTCTGGCAAAGAGAGTGGCAGTGCTACCTCGTTTTCCATTAAAGAATAGTACACTTCTAGCATAGGAAATTCAGAATTGTAGCACTCAACTTATATGAACCAACATGCTGAACTGCATTATCCAGGCTTAACTCTTAAAACTTGAATGTTCCAAAATGGTCACAGGAAATGGTGCACACTTGATTGTCCTGTCAGAAGTGCAAAACAGTGAAGTTCTACTCTACTGTATTTTCTAAAAGCTGATTTAAAAATGTTGGGGAACAATAAGTCAATTAAAAAAAAAACCACATCTGCTTAATTTCTAAGCTGCAATGGATAAGTATCTATCTAGTGAAGTCCCATCATGATGCTTTGGAGATTATTTTGGTAAGGGGAGAAAAAAAGAATGTCAAAATGAATTCAAAAGACCATGTTATGTTTAAGCCATGATAAGATATTGCATCCACTGTTCTGTCCTGACTTTGAACAAAATGATTTTTTTTTACTTAGACTGGAGAAGGAGAGGAGATACAAAGTCCAGTGTAACATCAGGGTGGTTTTTTTTATACTTGGTAGCTTTTGAAACATTCCTGCTCTGTCTATGAGGATCCTCACTGACCAGACTGGTTGGTGAAGAAACCAAATTAAACTCTTCTCTCTCTATAGCTCTGCTATATCATGTGTACTGACTGTAAAATACAGGTATAAAAAGGAATGTCAAATCAGTTAGTAGCATGAGCCATCAACATGTCTTTTGGAGAACAGGATGATGAGCAGAATGATCAACTGCATGTACCTGCTGAAATTTTCCAGGAGGAGAAACCATTGGGCAGAAAGAAATCCTGACTCTGTTTGTCCAGAATTGTGAGCCCATTATGCAGACTGTTGTGTTTCAGGGCTGCATGTTTTTCTCATACTGAAATTTGTGGGAATTTATAGATTCATTGTGTTGTCAAAGTTGTGACTTGTAACACAAACCAAAACCATCATACCTCCTCCAGCTGGATCATCTGAAGGTATGTGCTCAAGTTAAAGTACTGACATTTATACCTCAGGAAGCAAAAGTAGGTTGACTTTTTTTTTTCCTTAAAAAAAGAAAAAAATTTCTTTGGTGAGGGAACAAGTGGCTACTTCAAATAATTTTATTCCATATGATTAAAAGAGTACACCTCAATCAGAAATACATTGTCCCATATTCTGATTTACAAACTGGTTTCTGGCTTTCTTCCATACCTTGCTGTATGTGTGTGTGTGTGTATATAAAAATATACTGTATGGTCACAACTTGAGAACATGCAGCATGTACCTAAACTATCCATCAGGCATATACAGCTGGTGTTAGTATTACAATAGAAGGACTTTAGACAAATTTTGCAAATACTTTTGCATTATTATTTGCTTATCTTAGGTGGCAATTTTGTTTTGTTTAGTTTATTTTTTTTATTTTGAAGCATTATCCCTTTTTTCCTCTCTCAGGATATTGCAGTTACTGGAAACACTTCTTTAAGTGGGAGCCTTTTCTTTTTTCCTTTTTTTAAACTATACCATGTCCTCTCTGTAATCATCTGCTTCAGGGCATTTTACACAAGTATAAAGCAGCTGCTGTTTGTCACCATTGACTGCCTCTGGCCAATTAAAACTGCAGGAGCATTTAAATGAGCTCAGGTGTCTCACTCAGTGCAGGCTCTTTGCTTGGAAAGCAGAATTTTCAAGCTTTTCTGACTGACTTAAAATTCAGTAGCTGGAATGTGAACAGAGCTGACAAGGGCCATTCCTGGGCAGTGGAAAGGGATTCCTGATGCAGAGCTGCTGGGAGTGGTTGCCCCTGCCCTCCCTCCCTCCCTGGTGGTCACTGGGCCCACCTGTGTTTTTCCCTCTTAGGCTGTTCCAGTTGTTTTGAGTCAGACAGAAATTGGAGGTGTAATTTCACCATATGGGGCTTGTTGATGGAGCTGCTCATCAGAGCCAGTGGGGCTCTTGTACAGTCCTTCTAAACCTTGTGGGCACATTCTTGAGCTTGTTGAGTCTTTCATACCAATTTAAGCTGCAAAAATGTTTCTGAACAAGGCAAAAAAGTAGAGAGGTAACCAACTACTGCACTCAGTAAGGATTTTACAAGTATTGCAGCTGCAGGAATCAAATGCAGCTGGAGTCAGGTGGGAAGGCAGGCAGTGCAGTCTTCACCTTTTAAACATAAGCTGTTGCTTCTTTGTTGTTGTGCAGTATCAGTGAGGCTGGTTGAGTTAGAATACAATCATTTAGGCTGGAAAAAACCTGAGTTCATCAAGCCAAGCATTAACTCAGCACTGCTGAGTCCACCACTAACCCTTATCTCCAAGTCCCACACCTACACGTCTTTTAAATCCCTCCAAGGCTGGTGACTCCACCACTTCCCTGGGCAGCCTGTTCAAGGCTTGATAACCTTTACGGTGAAGAAATTTTTCCTAACATCCCATTTAAAACTTCCCTGGTGCCACTTGAGGCTGTTTCCTCTTGCCATGTTGCTTATTTCCTGGGAGAAGTGGCTGACCCCCATCCTCCTTTCAGGCTGTTGGTTGCAGAGTGACAAGGTCCACCCTGAGCCTCCTTTTCCCCAGGCTAAACACCCTCAGCCATTCCTTCGATGTGTGCTTCAGACCCTTCCCCAGCTCTAATGCTTTGCTTTGGATGTGCTCCAGAGCCTCAGTGTCTTTCCTGTAGTGACAGGCCCAAAACTTAATTATTACTCCCTCCTTCCCAATGCCCTTTGAAGGCTTTTAGAACTTCATGTTGGTTTATGGTGATTCACCACTCAAAACTGCATCAGTGTAGCTGAGACAGACTCCACAGAAGGGGAAGGACAGGTCAGAATGGGAGCAGAAAGAAAAAAAACTTTGGAAACAATTGATATGGAACTTGACATCCTTTATTCATCACCTATCTGGTATCTGCTGGGAATATGTATTAGGCAGAGCTTGCTATATGTGAAGGGAATGGGAAAGCTGAGTACTTAATCTCTACAGCAGTTATTTATTGTTTTCCCTGGCAGAGGCTGATTTTTCTTTTCCCTGAATGGTTTATTTTATAGGCAGTTACACTATACAGATTTCTTTGGTTGCTTTATGTTTATTTATGCTATAGATGAAAGCACAAAACTCTATTGCTGTTCTTGGGAAGTGACTGCATTCTCTCCTGGGGTGTTACACACTCAATCCATGTCAAAATAACTTGAAGCTGTTGCCCAGTACCTGGTAATGAGATTTTACAGTGCTGCAGTGCAATGCACAATTGAAAGCGTTGTCCTGGGCCTCCTGGTCAAATGTGCCCAAATGTGTCATGGGACCAGGAATTTCAGCAGCAGTGGCAGTAGCTGTGGGGCAGAGCAGGAGTGGGGCTGCACAGCCAGACCCACTGTTCCCAACAGCAGCAGCAGCTGAAGCAGAGTGTAAAATCTCACCCCAGAGTGACTTAATTTTCTGGCCAGAATACCCCAGAAAGTTCTTGTGCAGTGCCACTGTCTGGCCTTCAGAGATGCTGGTATGGGTTAAGGGAACTGAACAGAGCCCCCAGTGTTAGTATTGTAGGCATTTTTTAATGCAGCCTTGGAGTAAGTAGCCCTCCAAAACAGAGGTAAACCAGGAACATTTTTGCCCCCACCACCTCATGCCATGGCTTCAGCTGTTCAGGATCCCTGTAGTGGTATTTTTCCAGGGATTCAAGACACTGTACAGTGCCTGAGCTGGATCTATTTGTATAACTTTCTCTTTTAAGCACCAAATGAGAATTTCCATCGTTTCTCTTGAAGGGTGGAAACTAATAGCTCTTGCCCATGTGTTTATAAATTGATGAAAAGCCACAGTCTAAGAACATGCACCTGGAGCTGGTTTTGGTTCAGCTTCTTAGTTCAAAGATTCTGCCCATAAGCAAAGCTTGAGCAGCTGCTGCCTTGGTGAGCCTGGGAAACAGGAAAAGTCAGTCCATTTTCAGTCCAGTCAAACCTTGGTGTGAGAGAGTACCTAATTGTAGGTTTCTGTTTCTGGCCACAGAGTTTTGAGTTTTCTGTATATTTGAGACAATTTTATAAAGTTCAGTTGTAGTTTTCAGAAATGGCTATTTGCAAATGTTAACTGACTGTACTTTCATGTCCTAAGTCTTGCATCTAAACCAGAAGTATTTGTGTTCTATGCATCCATAGCTAATGGAAAATAGAATTGTGGAGTTTTCTTCAGTGTTGCAATTGTTTCACTGTAGGTGGATCTTTAGAAATTAAATTTGGCCTTATAGTTAACAAAGCTCTGAAAAAGCCAAAAGCCAGGAAGAGGGTGTATGTCAGCCCTAGTAGGAAGTTTCTGCAGGCAGACAGGTCAGCTTTGGTGTTTTCAGTTCTACAGTGACAGGACTCAACAAATCTGTTGATTTTTGTGATCTTGTACTTCAAGTGATATTGCTGTAAATCTCTCCTGCAGCTGTTGGTGTAACTTAGTCAAAGCCAAGCTGTTTATATACAATTTCATTTTTCTTCAGGGTCAATTTTGTACTTTAAAAAACTATTTCTGCATTTCCTGAGTTATCCTAATGCTGCAGAGGACAGCAGGGAGAGCAGTGAGTACACCCTGCTCCTCCCCAACCATGCTGTGCAAGGGGCTGGGCTGGATCACCAGGGACGCTGCAGGAACCTGCAAGGCTGCTTACCCCATGCTCTAGTCCCAGCATGGCTTTATCCAGGCACAGAATGGGTTGGTGAGGGCAAGGATGGATGTGGATGGGCTCAACTGTGACATATGCTGTTAGTTCTGAATAATTTGTAAGAGAGTTATAAATTTTGTAAACTTTTTAATGTGCTAAACTTTGGTTATGGAGGTAACATTACAAAGAAGGGGTCATTTGTGTACTTGTTTTTGTATTTTGCTCTGGTGGGCTTTTTGTTGTTGTGCCCTAAGTCCAGATCATTGGGCAAATAGTCGTTAAATCTTGAAATTAAAACAAATAAATGCATTTTACTCAATACTGGATACTTTTGTTATGATTCTAATTGTGCCAGTTCTATCTTGCTTAGAACTTTTTCTGACTAGAGGCAAGTAATATTAGCTCTTTATAATCAGGTGAGAAGATGGAGGCTTCTGTCTGAAACAGTGTGTACAGCCTGATGTTGTCTACCTTGCATACACCAGTTCCTGGGAGAACAAGAGGTACTGGGATTTCTGGAATTCTAAGAAGTTCAGTCTGACTTGTGTCTGTTACCAGTCAGTCAACAGCAGTTTACTGGCAGACTTACTGCAGGGTATAAAATCCTTTACTCACTGTCCTTGTCTTTCAGGTGTAGAACTCAGGAAACTGGTACAAGGATGCACCATCCATGCTTCTTCACTGCTCCTAGCCCAGCTTGGGTAATGCTTTGTGGTGTCCATTACACAACACTTCAGCATAAGATGGTAGAACATGCACAGAAGTTTTCAGCTCACACCTTTGTTCAGAAAGCTGCTGTAGCAGCTACAGGACTGCACTCAGCCCCACACTACAGGACAGCAAAGTAGTTTTAGTGCACTTTGCAAATGCTTCTGGCTGTAATAAACATAACTGCAGCCTAGTTAAATGTATTCTTGTGACTCAGTAATTTCAGACAAGCAGGTTATTGCCTTGTGTGTGGTTCTTGGAAAACACTGTTATTGGAAAAAGAACATACTGGATGTGGCCACCCTGTATTATTACATATCCATTGCAGAGGATCCAGTCTTTCATGTGGCTGGGGGAAAGAACCAACTCTCCATCTTAATTTCTCTGGAAGAGTATAAAGACTGATGAAACAGCTTAAGTAGAAATCCAGTGTGAATTGCTGTATGGCAGCCTGAGCTGAACCAACAAGCAATTTCCCACTGTAGGCACTGCTGATTATTGTCAGCAGCTCTCTGTAACTAATTAGAAATCAGCTTTTATTGTTTAATACCAACAAATCTGTAAGAATAAGCAAGTTTCTTCATCTGAAACACCCTTAATGATACTTTCTTGGTTTGATTTTTACAGTATGGGAATTGGAGAGCCGGCTAAAGCAGTGAGAAGAGTGGAAACTCATTGTAGGAAGTGGTAACTAGCTCTGCCTTATAATGGCCTCAGGGTTTTACACAGTTGAGAGTAATGATACCAAATGTGTGAGCCAGCTTCCATCACTGGATTAGTATTTACCCAGGCAGGTTTCCCTTCATGTTTGTAAATCTTCTAAATCAAAGCTTCAGAGCAAGTGAAGTAAGGGCTGCATCAGACTTCAACATCCAAAGGTGACATAGATTCTACTGCTCTGTTTTCAAAGACTTTGCATCTACAGACAGCAGAGCTATTATTACAGCATGAGGCAAGCAAAGCCCTTCTAAACTCAGAGCTGAATTCCAGGGAGATGGAATGCTTTATCTCAGGAATTATCCTACAGTGGAAATATGCTCCCTTTAACTCAGAAGAAAGTGTCTCTCAGTGCACCAAGAATTTGGCTGAGGGACTGAAGTTCTCCAACTCAATTTGGCAGCAGCTGTACTGTTGCTTTGACAGAGATGCTTCAATACACATTGGCACAATGTTCTGTTGAACAATCTGGCAGTAAAGGGGTACTGGTGCTGTGTTGCTGACACCAGTGTAACTGGTTCTGCAAAGAAATACTGCTTCAGAAGATTGAGATCACTTCTGCCTCTCACAGGAGAGAGCTCAGGCTTGGGCAGAACTCCATGTGTAAAGTTAGACATAAGAAGTACAAAATAGAATTGGAAATTGATGAGTATTTATACTGATAAAAATACTGAGATAAATAACTGATGTAGCTGATATAAAAGGTGATTTCACTGGGAGTGTTTAGTGAAAGCTGCATGTACCTGTCCCCAGTTTGTTCCTAAAGCAGGCAAAACGGTAAGACAGGAAAATGTTTCTAACACACCATTAGTCTTTGACCTTCTGCCCAGGTACAAGTGCTTCAATAAAAACATTAACCCAAGCCACACAAGCAGAGAAACATATGAAGAAATAGTGATTATTTTTCCTTATTTTATTGGGTAAATGACTTGAAAGGTAATAACAATAGTGTTAAAACTACTACAATATCTTTCCACAGCCATATCTCACAGACTCACAGATAACCTTCTAGCATTTTTATTTTTCCTCATTTTTCTCTTTTTAAGCCTTAGTTATATGAAAATGCCCATTTCCACAGTTTCTTCACACTAATAGCAATTCAATGTGGAAGGAAGAAGGATCTAGTTATAAAGGAAGGGGGTTCAGGTAATCTGTGATATTACTGTAATCAATTGAGTTGCTAAGGAAGGAAGGAAAATACCGAGGCCTTACAAGCTACTCCAGGTAGCTCTAAGCCCGCTGTGTCTCACCATGGCATTGAAGGTAACTCAAGATGCTGGTGAACAATTCGAAGTAAGTTTGATTTTTTTTTTTGGTAACTTATAAAACACTAAAATAACTTAGAAACTAGATCCAAATATCTTTAAAAGAAGATATTTTTTATACAAAAACAGTCATAAGTTTTTACAAAAGTTGCAAACAAAAGTTTGTTTTTTCAGTGCGTTTATGTACCAGCGCAATTACTGAGTCCAGAGCAAAGAAAGAGGTTTTTCTTTTTTATTTTTTTTTTTCTTTAACAGTAAAAAAAAATGAGGAAAACATATCTTTGTATATAAAGAATCATTGCTGGTCTTAGGAATAAATGTTACCAGAAACTCTTAAATCTGAGAGGCACACTTTGGATTTCTCTCTTTTTTTTTAACTTTTTCTTTTTTTTAACATAAAATGAAAGTCACCAGTTTATTTAAATGGAGGAGATACTCAGACTCCCCAAATAAACTTAATTCAATTAACATCACTAGCAAAAATCAGTTAGAAACTGTACAAAAATAAAAAAGTTAACACATATAATCCTGCAGGGATTTTGTAAGGACTGGAAGGCAGGCTTTAGGAGCAGCATTTGGGCATGGCTGGAGGCTTCTTTGGTTCGATCTAACACACATAAGAGATGTAACCTACTCCAGACAACAGTTTTAAAAACCCGCACAGTTGAAGACAAGTAAAGGTCCATATATAAACTCCAGGTGTGCCAGGGCTGTGCCCACCTTGGTTCCAGAGTGGGGCTGAGGTCAGGACCGGAACATCCACCCCTGCCAGAGCAGCATCCGCTGGGATGGCAGAAGGAAGGACACTTGAAGCATCACCGAGTAACAGCTTTGTGTCAAGTCTATGGTTTGGTTATCTAACTCAGTTTACAGCACAGAGTTTTTAGGAACATTAGGCAAGAGAATGAAAAAAAAATAACCCAACAATCTCTTCAATGGAATAAGGCAAACTGAGTAGTGCTCATAAAAAAAATCAAAAAAAAAATCAGCATTTCAACTTCACAAACAGTGAAATAAACTACTTGGTTGTACCTTAATTTCTATAAAGTACCCCAAATGAAAAGCAAATCTGTAGCTAGCCCCAACAGTACAGCTAAAAGCTATTAAATATAACTACAAAGGAATGACGTTTGTGAAAGCAACTGCTGATCAGCTTTAAGCAAACAGACCTATGCAGTGCCATTGGATGTCACAGGGAGCTGCATGATTGGTACAAAGAATCCCACAATTATAGAGAAACAATCTGCAGCAGTTCAACAGAGTATGCTGAGGAGGTAGGTGCCCTAGAAACACTGTAGGTAGACTGATTACTCCAATGTTAAAAAAAAAAATAAAAAAAAATCAAACAATCTGATTGACCACAGACTCTGTAACAGTTTTTTAATTAGTGATACAAAACTCTGGTCCAGAAGGGTCTGGCATGAGCTCGGTTCAAAAGCACACCTTTACAGTTTGTATAACACCCTTGAACTGTATTTTTAAGCAACAGCTAATAAGAGATAGACAAAAATGCATTGTGCATTATGCTGTATACAAAAAGGAGACAAAAACTATCCTTTTTTCCCCCAAGCCATTGTGGGAAGTATTGCTGACCTTGTCCTTAAAATCCTGCAGGATTGTTTATTCATCAGTATATCATTATTACACTGGTAAGAAATTCTGTATAATATCTGCATATATCGAAGATTTTTTAAAAAATCTGATATGATTTTAGATCCGCATGACCAGTCACGTGACCTTCTTGAGGTTGATTAGCACCTTTCAGTACATATATATTTTTATATATAATAGATCTTCTTAAAAAACTTCTAACAATGAGCTCATGCAGAAGCACGAGCGAGCTGTAACGAGATGACATAAAGATGGGGTTGGATGATTTTTTTTCACAACAGAATGATTCAGTTTGTGCTCAGGTTCCCTATAAGGGCAAGAAAAAAAACCAACACAACTCCATCAGGTAACCACTTGTTCACATTTCCACTTGAAGACTAATTCATCTAAAAGTGTTCCCCAAGTAGAAACAAGACAACATTATCATCCAAAATAGCCTCTGTATAAACATCTATTGATTTTTGCAGTTTCTGGCTGGTATCTTCTGGCTCCTGAAATTTCAGGCCCTCCACTTAAAAATTAAGGCATCGCAACTGAAAATGGTAATATTTGGACATAAATGCTGTGGATGAAGGAATAGCAAAGACCTTCCACAAGAACCTCCACAGAAATTAATTGGCAGATCTAATCTCACACAAGGGATGAGCATAATTTATCCTTATCTGACTTTGAAACCCTATTGAAACATTTTACAGTTAATCAATTTTTTTTTTAAAACAACTGAATTTTATCTATTTGATTTTTATATATCTATGTATTTATAGACATTCACTATTCAAAGTAACTGGAATTTCTGCTTACTGTGGTTTACTCACGCCGATTAGGAAGGTCTTTTCTGTAACAGGTGGCCTGTGCTGCCACAAGCAGCAGTGGGAATTCTGCAGGCACAGGAGGAAGGAGTGAGCTCCTTCCATTGACTGGCCTTGCAAATAGACCACACATACCTTTTACTAAATCCTATTTTTACAGCAGAAAAAAGTTCCAATCTATTTTCTTTCTTCTCTTATGTGGAGGGGTATCAGAATTATTACACAGTACTAACAGCTCTAAAGCACTATTCCTGCAATAGATGAAAACATGTAACATTATGGCATACTTGTCCTTGGCTCTCTCCCAACAGTCTTTTTTCTTTTATTAAACAAAAGTTAACTTGATCCAGCTATTCATGACTTGATAAAACTCAGTAAGATCAAGAGCAGATGAAAGAACAAAACAGGGATTTCTCTTTTCCAAAATAAGTTTGCTAATAATAATAATTAAAAAAAATAATCTCAATTTAAAGAGAAAGAAGTGTCCAAAACCCTGATGCCAGAACAGCCTCAACAGGGTTTGCTAGAATGTCTGGAGTACATGTTTTCTATGAATTTTATATATAAGTATATAATTATGTTATAGTCAAAGGCACTAAAATCTAAATCCATTTTCTTCCTAATATGACATCTGCTACTCACAGTCTGTTTTTAGGACACAATCCTAATTGGAGAAGACAATTTAGGACACACACGCCTAATTTGAGTAATCAGAAAGACATCATCTCATTACAAATGCATCTCATGACTACTCCTGACAGGCCTGTGCTGCCCATGATTCCCAGCACAGGATGGGACACAAAGGGGTCCTGTATTGGATTGTGCCCTATCATTTCGGCCACTTGATTCTGAAAATGCTGCCATGTTAACTTCACCTCTTGCTGTATGTGAGTTGCTTCTCTTCATCTCAAAAAAGCATTCTGTATGTCAGCCTTGGTGTTCCAGCTGTTTGTGCTGGATCTGGAGATCCTGTAGAGAGCTACATGGAATCTTTACTGTGAAGGTGAAATATTGTACACACGTCATTAAGAATGTTATGAAAACACAATTCATTGTCTACTTCAATACCTGCATCTGATATGTTTCATTCCCTATCACACCCATTAAAGCAAAAGCCATGAATGCTTTTTGCTAAGATTCCCTAACTTCAATCCTTAACCTCTTCCTTCCATCCACAGTTACAGAAAGCCTTGATTGATACAATTCAATGTTAATGAAGTAGAAATTTAAATTTTCATAAAAAAGGGTATATGCTGCAAAAAAATCTGCAGTGACTCAATAATAAAAAGGTATGGGTTCTTTGCAGTAATGCAGTTTTCCCTCCCGTTGCCATGATTAGCTGAACCAACTAAGGAGCCTCAACATGGCAACGGAAACTATCATCATAAAATGGTACAGTAATAGAGATAGCTAGACCAAGAAGGGGCAGGGTCTCCTGGGAAGAGGTCTGCAGAGAGGTCCAGTGACTGGTCATGCGGCTCAGTGTCAGGAATAATGGTTGTATGGTGGAAGGGGGTGCCCAATACCATTCTGGAAGTGATGGTGTTGACGATGGGCAAGGTACTCTGTGTAGCTCATCGTCATCTTTTCACTGCGGTACCTGGCAAAGAGAAGAGAAGCCAATTCAGGAACTGTTCCCAGAAGCTGCAAGTAGCACCAGAAATGCTGCACTGCTGGTTTGTTTAGTGGTAAGAGCTCTCTACTTCTGATGCTGGGAATAAGACTTTCAGCTGCACAAGGGAACTACCACAATTGTCAAGGTAATTTCCTGAATCATATGACAAATCACAACATAACTGCATATGAAAAAACATTCTAAGCAAACAAAATTGCTAAAAATGGTTGCCTTCTATGTTGCTTGAAGTAGAGGGAATAGATAATGTCCTGTATCTTCAGCCAACTCACTACAAAAACTTAGTAGGAAAAACCATAAACAAGCACTACAGATTTTTGGGCTGTTTTTAAACAATCAGTATCAACTGTCTGCCAAATTCTGCTTCTAAAATTATCCCAGCTACATTAAATGTAGTTATATTCTTAATTGACTAGAACCACAGAATATCTCCAGTTGGAAGAGACCCGTCAGGAACATCAAGTCAAACTCTGCTCCTCATGCAACGACCTAAAAATAAACCATATGGTTAAAAGCATTGTTTGGACAGCCCTTGGCCTCCAACAGGCTTGATGCCATGACTCTGGACAGCTTGTTCTAGTGCCTGACTACCTTTCAGTAAAGAATATTTTCCTAATGTCCAGTCTGAACTCCCCCTGAGGCAGCTTCATTCCCTTTCCTCATGCTCTACTGCTGGTCACCTGAAAGAGGAGATAAGCAGCTCTGTTCTACTGTCCCCCCAGGGAACCTGTAGACCCCAATAAGGTCTTTCTCAGCCCTCTCTAAACTGAACGAAACATGTGACCTCAGCTACTCCTCCTGAGTCTTGCCCCTGAGGCCTTTCACCATTTATGGTCACTTTGCTCTCATCACACTCTATAATTTGATGTCCTCCTTAGAGAGAGACACCGAACTAATTTTACCAGGCACTGAAGTGAGACTGGCAGGCCTGTAATACAAGGATCTTCCTTCTTCCAAACAGAACAACATTTGCCAGCTTCCACTTGACCTGGGACCTCTCCTGACTCCCAAGTCAGTTGAAAAATAATGAAGAATGGTCCCACAAGAACATCCCCCAGCTCTGTGTAACTAAAAGCAGAATCCAAGTCCTGAATACATCTGCATCAGCATTGTCTGACAATGAGGAACACAAGGTACCAGTGGCTACTGGGCCTTGCTGAGAAAGCAGCAGCTCTTCTCGAATCCGTAGGGATAGTACATGGCACCCAGTGAATGGAATTTCCACTCCATGGAAACAGTGAGGGTCTCTGCAGGTAACACTTGGCTGTGCACAATCAGGGGCAGCTGCACAGCCCCCGCACAGCTCTGCAGATGGCAGAGAATCCTCAGCTGCTGACCCTCTGCATTCCAGACCCCTCTGACTGCTACCTACCCTCAGTTCCACTACTTTTTAGCTCTCTCTTTCAAAACATGGCCAGAACTGCTGGGTGTGAACCTAAAGGGAGTGACAGACTCATGATAAGCTCAAAGCTTTTGTCACACATAGGATGTTCATTTTAATTCAGAAGTCTTGAAAAAGAAATTTAAAGCCCTTATTCACTCCTTCAATAGGTATTTGCATGTATGACAAGAAATTATTAAAATTAGGTTCTAAACCAGGTTGTCTAGTGCTGGAAAACAGTACTTTAATAATACTGTCTAATCTGTCAGCAGAACCTGAGATTTCAGGCAAGTAAAACAGGCAGTCAAAAAACCCCTTTTTCTGAACATTAAAAAAATTATGGTTCACTTATATCACTTATCAGGCAATTGATTTTAGTAGCAGTTTTATTGTTGTGAGCTTAATTACACTAAATATAAAGCTTTTTGTGAGGTTTTGCGGGGGAGTGAAGGTGAACTTTAGGTTTTTTTGTTTTGTTTTGTGTTCCATGTCATGGCTCCAAGCAAAATCATGTAGCAGGAAGAAAATGCGTGCTATGTGTGATTTTTGTTTAATGGAAAAATACAATCCTTACTTACTGAGGTGTACAGAAATTACCTATAGCATTATTACTCTTGCCCTCAGCTATCTCCAGATTCTGTTTTTGAATATTCTTTTTGAAAATAATACAACAAGGTGTACAGCTGAAACAAATTAAAGGGAGACTGGGGTCTTGGACTTGGAAATCTAGCTGGCTTCTGTAAATCCTTCCTCCCTAATTTAACCTTCAGAATAAAATGTTTCCTTTACTCAGAGCTACTCCACAGTAGTTAGGTTCCTGTAAGGATACAGAATTTGAAACACTCATTAAGACCCAAAGTCTTTATCTCTTTGAAGAAGACAAATGGTCAAAACTTCCTTATAACCT